TTTTTAAAATTTAAAAATTAAATTATTATTATATATATATATATATATATATATATATATATATAAACAACCTATATATATTTTTATGTTTTAAATTTTCTTTAAATTGCATTAATAATATGAATTTAATTTTTGGTTTTATTTTTGATTAAGCATCCCAGATAATTTATAGACGAGTCAAAGCTTGAGTTGTGCCAAAAAGTTAACAGAAGACAATGACCGTCACGCTTTCTTCACAAAGTATTCTTTTCTTAAATTAAAACTTTTTAGATGAAGATCCATATTCTTCATGCAGGGCAATTTTTAATCAATGGTAGCATTGTTTCTGGCACTCAAACAATATCAGCTTTAATGTTTATATATAGGAAGTGAACATGAGTCACATATATGACTCAAACGAGAAAATGCCCGTGCCTATACGTTTCGCTGAATTTAATAGAAGGTTTAGAAGCAAAATAATAAAAGCGTAAATTTTGGCATTTCATCAGACTGATCTGTTGAAATCGCTCTTACGAACTAGTAATTATTTTTAATTGACGATTAAGTCTTTGGTTTATCAAGACCAGTAATATTAGATTCGTAACTAGACGAGATCTGTAACACTAGATACTGACTATTACGAGAGCTGCTGAATCGTTTAGGGTCAACTTGATTAATAAAACACAGTCTCAAATCTTTATCTCAATCATAACGTAATTTGACCGATAAGCGAAACAAAAATTATTATGTTATATTATTTTATGTGCAATAAAATTATATACTATTTATATTTCATTTTACTTTTTTAATTATCGGAAAACGACAGGATAACTTTGCATTGTGTCTTCGATCAGATGAAATTATGAATTAACTACTACGTAGTTCGCATCTTATCGCAAGTGACATTTTTAAATAATTCAAGTGATAACTCCGTGGAAAAAGTGTTGCGGTCAGCAAATTTCAAGAAAAAAAAAAAACTTTCTTATGCAAACAAAATCATTCAAACAACAAAAAATTCAATGAACTCATGAACAAATCCTTGAACAAATCATGCAGTGCAAATAACAAATTTTAAACACTGGCGATCGTAAGCTTGCGGAAATCGATCGGAAGTTTCAGTTCTGAAAATCAATCTCTCTTTATTTATTATTACTTTATTATTATTACTTTATATTTATTCGAATTAACGATATTTATTCGAACTTAGGGGATTTTGCGTTTGCGATCAGGTTTCATTTGCAGCGCGCTTTCTTTTTCAATATAGTAGTATCGCATGATGCCGGCCTGAATATTGTTGAAGGTGGGTCAAGTGCAATCAGCTCGTTACAAGGCGTATGCCAGTCGCGTGTCAAAAAGTCACTGCAGCGAATTGTTATCCAGAGCGGATGTGACTCGCGATAGAGCACGTGCTCCTACGTCGGGAATACAGAGTCGGGACACTTTGGACAATCGCGGATTACTTTGAGAAAATTATTAGGCGAGAATATCACATCTGATAGATACAGAGATAAGATAAAATATAATACAAAAATAATAACCTCACCAGACAGATAGGAAAAGAGAGAAAGAAAATCGAAAACGAGATAATGAAATAGGTATCAAATCTTGTTATTTAAATTCTATTATTGGTACAGAGAGACTTGAGACAAAGAGAAGATTTATATTTATCAGAACTGAAGCAATGTAGAGAGAAATGCTCGATGGTTAAGATGTATTTTGCCATGCACTTATCACTTTATTTGTCATTCCATCTTCGACAAACGCAATCAAATTCTGCTTCAGAAATAAGATTTATATTCCAAAATACGTACTTTGTTTTATTTTTCTACTCTTCCTTTAGATAATGCGTTTCATTTTAATTAGCACTATCTGCTGTGACAGAATTGTTTGGCAATGAACGTGAAAGATAGCAAAAAAATTACTATGTAAAAGTACTGATAAGAAACAGATGTCGCTTTCGAGCAATTTAAATTTGGGCTTTTACTCGAAAAACTTGTGCATAAGTCATTTAAAGATTTGACGTTCTATGACATTCATGAGATATTATCAATGTATCGCATGTATTTTCGTCACAACACGCGTGTCAGCATCCTTAATTCATGTTTCACGATGCAAGTCGCTCCATAAACGACAAAAGACGTGTCGTGTTAAAAAAAAAAATAATTTCAACGAGAAGATTGTATAGATGATAATATAAATTATACATAATATTGTATTAATATGTAATATTTTGAAATTCATCTTCATAAAATATACATATTCGTGCGTGCGTGCGGTTTGTAATTTGCATGCTAAATTATTCGTACTTGTTCGAATGTTAGGGAAATTAAACAGTGCGAATAAAATTCTGCGAATAAAACACGTCTTAGATTTCCTTATGCAAGTTCATGCGAAATCGCGATAACGCTGTCCTTGAATGAGCGTAGAAAATGCAATTTAACATCACCTAACGGGGAGACAGTTGACAGATATTAGATGCAAAAGTAATCGCTGAATACGATCTTAGTTTAAGTTTCAGAAGAATTTACTTGGGTGATGTAAATATAAAAATGTAATACGGAATATTATATAAGGGCAGTATATATTTATACAATGCATATGCGATGCATATGTAAAATATCTTTCTACGATAGACATAAATATTAATATTTATTCCTCATATCTATTTGTCTTGAATTGCACACATTATTTTAAAACAACGTCAAACACGAAGCCAATCTCCCGAGCGCGAGCTAAATTAAGAACGGCACACGTTTTTCTGAAATGTTTACCAACTCATCGAAAATTCGTAGCCAAATCTGCAATTGTAATTAGCTCGCTCACATTGCTTTTCTCATTAATAGCTCTCGTTAATCGCACCGCTGGGCTTTCTGAAAGATTCGTTTAACCTACGCAAAAATCCACGCGTTTGAGAGAAGACCATCCAACAGAAACTCCTCAGAGATTAATCGACGAATCAATCCTGATCTTCATCATTCCTTCAAGATTTTAATCGCGGGTATTGCTTTCAAATTTGGAAATTTGATAGCAAGTGGTAGTGTTGGTGCGTCTTGAAAGAAACGCATTCGCTTCAACGCGCGAGCAATCGGGAGGTAGCTCGGTTGGAAGAAAGGCAGAGAAGTTTCTCGAAGCTTGGGTGTGCATGTAGAGAATACCGTGAAAGCAGTAAAGAACAGCTGACTGAGTCATCCTTGAAAAAGGTATATTCAGTGCATCATAGGTCGCGAATTTAAATGATAAAGTCGCATGCCCGGAAGAAAGTGCAACTTGTGAGAAAACTGCGTTTTGTATGATATTATTGACTGAAGTTGATAGAAGGACCTCTAATAGTCTAAATAATCTAACGATTAGTGAAATATTTGTGATTAATGGTGATAATAAATTAATGTGATTAATAGAATATTTACTTTCGAATAGAACGTTCTCTCTGTTTATAAAGGTGGGAGATCGTTGAACTTGATGTCACGTGTTGCGTGAACGATTCATTAATAAGCTAAGTCATTAATAGCTAATCTTCCTTAATCACTAGCTATAAAAGACTATCGGAAAATTTGTTTCAGAATCAACCTAGACACTTTTCTCCGAGATAATTCTGTCATTTACGAAGAAAAAAAGGCTGTGCAATTTTTGTGCTCCGTTTTATATGATTTGTCATCAACAAGTACAAGCTAAATGTGATTTAAATCGGTTGCTATTAAAAGACCAGTAAAAAAACTTGCAAGACAAACTGCTGTATTTTTAATCACGACGAGATAATAATATCTTTTTCTCCAACAAAGAAATACGTTGAACTCAACACTCGATTCTAAGCAAATAATTCTGCTACCAGAAAAACAGCGAGTCGGTGCGAGTCGATCACTCTTCAATTAACTGTTCACTTGAGAACGTGAGCCAAACAACATTATTATCGCTGATCAATACGAATTAGTCTCGTGTTACATCCTGCGAACATCCTGTAAACTCTAACGACGATCGGAGAAATTTCTCGAAGCTCGAACGGCGCTGAATCTAAGGCGCATCAAAAGGAGAAGCAGCTGCCAGGTCAGAGCAGCTTGGCCGAGAGAGGCAGAGGACAAGGCGGTATTCACGATAGGGATAGAGCAAGGGAAACGACGGAGAGTGGAAAAGGGAAAGTTGGAGAGAAAGAGACAAACCGACAGAGGCAGAGAGAAAGAGAAGCGAACCTACGGGTTCAAGTAGCAAACCGATTTAGCAGGCGCGCACGTGCTTTGAGAGAAGGATAGGAAGGGACGTTTAAGTAACAAGGACAAAGTCTGAAGATAGCTAGGGGAAAGAAGACAAAACGATAGATAGAGCTGAAAGACGGAGCGAAAAGGAGCGAGAGAATAAGGAAAAGAGACGGAGAGACTGAGACTACCCTGAGATTAGGTAGGATAGGAGAAAAAAGAGGAACCCTTCTCGGGACTGATCTTCGAGATGGGTAAAAACAGCCTGACGAACTCTCACGCGGCTGATAGTGCTTTCGACCAGGAGGCTATCTTGAAGAAGACACGATGGCGCAATCTCTTGGCCTTCTGGATCCTGGGTCTGTGCAACAATTACGGCTACGTCGTGATGCTCAGCGCAGCCCATGACATTCTTCAGACCAAATTCGGTGAGAAGGTGAGTAATTCACCTCGTGATTCATGCGAAGGAGGCTTCAATCTGACGGAACTAGGGAAGAACTTGAAATTATATCACCGGATTCTGTTCTATAATTAGAGCACAATAGGAAATATAAATTTAGAAAATAATAGAAGAATTATAATTTTGATATTTAGATGCTATTTGAATGTCTTTTTGTATTGTAGTCTTATATGTTTCTTGCACGTTATTTGACAAAACACAAAAATCATTAGTTTTGAATTAATTAAAAAAAAAATGATTTGATAAACAGATCGTACAGAAATTATTTAACTTCGAAAATTCATATCGATGACCTTAAAAGTCAATGGAATATTTAAAGTCCGTCAATTTAGACAAGACAGAAAGAGTATTATCTGAGTGAACTTATCATATTGTTGCCTACTCCAGATAACAATAGTGTGACTAACAACGAGTATCAAGTTCATCTTCGTAAGATAGCGCGAACCGCTTTAATTTATTATTTTATAAGGACTGACGTAACAATCAGTTGCGATACAAATTTTCAAAGATTTTTTTCAATTTTGTCTATCTCTCTTTTATCTATGTCTTAGAAATATTCTTGTATTTTATTTTTTTGTGAAGAACGCTATAGAAAATAAAGATCTTTACGATAATTACATGTTGAAAATTCTTTCCGTGGACTTGGAAATTAGATCAACATATCAGACTATTTCTGATAAAGCGTTTTATTAGAGTTCTGGTAAGATATTTTATCAATAAGTACACAAAGCTCATACTAACCTAGATTTGAAAGTAAAGAACGATGCAAACAATGTATAAAACACACTACTAAAAAGCTACTAATTCATACTTCTTTGAAGCAATATATCTATCAATCAATTGTAATATTCGAGTACTTTAAATAATTAATAATTCGATTTTTTTAACATTAAATGTAAAATATTATATGAGTTTGTTATCTTTGAGACATCAATTTCAACTATTTACATAAAGTAACTGTAACCGAATTGGCACAATCAATAGATAATTGATATCTTCTTCTTCTTCCTGTCAAGCCTTTTACAAGTCTTTTACATTGAAATGTCAATTGGTAATATTCAACTTTGTCCGGGTCAATGTGATTCTAGCTGCTTGTGTATCCTTGTGTATCGATTAAATTCTTTTCGATATACGATACCAGTCTGATACGTAATTAAATATCCGTAGACATTCCATGGAAAATTTTCTAACGATATTAATAGACCAGCGGTAGAATGCGATGTAGGATTCTGAATACATATTGAATTAATTCTCGGGATCTACGTCGTAATTCACTAATAAATTGATGAATTTGATCCATATTAAAGATAACATTTAACAACATAATCTTCGTCTTAAACGAAGAAAATCGTCGCGCATTAATAATTTATGTCGTCCGGTCGGATTCCCGAGTGAAAAAAAATGAATGTTGTGTCATTGATAAAATAACACGAGACTGCCATATTGTGCAATCAGCGTCCTTTCAATGCGTCGCATTTATAATCGACATTATTACGCAAATCAGGAGCAACGAGATTTATTCTGTCGTGTGCGAAACGTTATATGTATTCGTAACATTTTAAAATTATTTTTACTCTCACTTAATATTTTTATATGTTGGAATAAATTACAAAATTACAAAATGAGATTTTTCATTGAGTTTTACGAAAAAATATTAGTTAATTCGTTATTTTTTTTTTTTCTAAGAGACATTTGAAACACTTCTTAATTTTATTTTAGCTAAGACCAAGACACTACGATTGCAATTGCATTATGTAAATATTTTTAATTTTTCTAGGATGACACGTCAAATGTTACTACTAATAACGCCACAAACACGTCGGGAAGTCGTACATGTAACACGGTTTCGACAGGTGCCATACTCTTGGCAGATATTTTGCCAGCATTGGCGATCAAAATGACAGCGCCGTTCCTTCCATTTTTTGTGCAGTGAGTATTTATCTTTATTTTTTTCTTTTTTTTTTCAGCCATATATGTAACGCTATAAAGTGCACTTCTGTGCATCTTAGCGTTATCTCGCAATCACTTGTCGGAATGAAGCCAGTGAGCACTGCAAAACGAACATCGTTTGCAAAATTCAGCATTCTATTTTTATTAGCAGATAATTGAAATGATGACGGAACTAAATGCGACGCGTGATTCATTTTTTTCGCGAAATGTTCGTATTGCTTTCCAGATCCTATGATTTTCCTTTGCGCAATTTGTCGCTCATTAATATTCGAGTATATGTTTTTCCTTTCTGATTAAAATTCTTATCTGGATATCTGCAAGGATTCCACGCTCGGATGCTTCATATAACATCATAATTGGCCGAATGATAGCAATAAAAGTGTCAAGATAATTTACATCGGGACTGAACGATATCTTTAATAGCGATTTATTAAGCTCTTAATTATATTCTTCAAATAAAATACAAGCAATAAAATAATAAAAACTGTAACATCTGGGTTTAACTTAAGTGCTTAATTAATCTAAAAGTACTCATTTGTCATGTACTACATATATACATTTAATATAAAACTTATTAGTAATAAAATTAGTAGTAAAATTTATTAATATAACTTATTTTAAAAATAATTTTTATTATTTCAAGTAAATTTGTAAGATGTAATTTTATTCAGCTAATGAATAATAAATTTTATTAGCTTATAATAATGATAATAATTTTTTCATCCTATCAAGCATGCACGCATGTAACGTGCGTGCTGTAAAAAAATAAAAATACTTTAGAAAAACAAATAAAACTTTAATTCCAAATGCCACAAATCTCTTGAAAAATTAATCAAGTATGAAATCCGACGTGTAATCCGAGCATTTCTGCCTCTCACTGTTTTCCCTTTCCGATATATTTTTTCCTTTTTTTTTTTTTTTCCGTTAAATCCTCGCTCATCCGGCGTACGGCGGAGCCTTGGATATCGTGTAA